GAGGAAAAGGGGTGGGGAGAGCATGTACACACTGCATGTCTCTCTGTTGAGCCCTAACGTTCCCATTTATTTTGTGAAAGAAAAGAACAAAGCTGTTTATAAATCCAGCAGGGTTTTGTTCGGCAGTGGCTCAAGATGGTAAAGGAAGAAGGTCATAGTAGGACCACTGGACTCACTAGTCAGGAGGAAGAAATGTGTCCCCACATGTGTCTGTTTAGAGAACCTGGAATGCCCAGCAGGCTTTTTGCTCCAAAAGAGAGATCATACTAAAACTTAAGAGTCCAAAAGGTAAATGCACGAGTTGTAACCAAACCTCAGAGCAATTAGTGAAAGAGGGAATATAAAAATATACCAGCTATTCCCTCACCAACCCAACCAACACACTGGTACATCCCAGTCCCACACTACCATCAAAAGTTACCTGAATTACAATTTTAGTGCCTGAAGGGAGAATGGGAGGGGAATACTCACTGTTTCAGCACACCATCTCAGCACCATGTCTCTGTGGGACTGGCATGGAAAATCAAAAAGCAACTTCTCATCCTCCGGTATATCAAATTTCTCATTTCCCACAAGCCATGCCAATTTCTCGACATCTGCTGCATAGCTACCCAATTTGTAAACCTTTATTCCCTTGAGCTGGAAATTTTGCTTCTTGTTAGCTGCCTACCACCCTCAGTCAGATGCTTTCCTGGACCTACAAGCCTCCAGAGCTCACAAGAGAACCTCAAGTCTCGCACACATGCAGAACCCTGGCAGCTCTTCCAGCCGCATCGTGGCTGCACAGAATGATGCAGCAAATGGATGACACAGCTCTGTGCAATTCTGACTCCACAGATCTGCAGTGAGGCACAGGAAAAGCTCAGCTGACCCCTTACCTTTGACTGGCTACTCTCCTCTTGGCAAAGGTTGACTTCAATCCAAAATTTGAAGAAGATCCCAAATTATATGGTGCCAAGGGATGAGACAGCACCAGAGGCACTACAGAGCTTTTCAGGTTTGCCCCTGAAAAGCTGACTCCCTGAAGCTCTCCTCTGCTCCAGATCCACAGAAAACCAGACAGGCTATTCTTGCATCTCACTTTTAAGCAAGCTGTGGGAAAGACCTAACTTCATACAGCTCCAAAATAACACAAAAATTGAACCTCTTACTGTCACAGCAACATGAGTCACCGGAGACTCCCAGGTTTACACATTGCCCTTATGGCTCAAGCAAATTATTACTGACAACTTGATCCGGCACACAGAGCCCCTGTGGCAGATGCTTATCTTAAAAAATGCAAACACTCCAACACTTGGTGTGGCTACCAGCCTGCCATGCTCTTCCTGGCCCTTCTCAGATCACAACCTCTCCCATCCTGGCCCCACGCCCTGCTCCCAGCACTGCCACCCCACAGACTCGGAACAAACCCAGAAACACACCACAGGGTGAAAACGAACCTTCTCCTTACAGGGAGAAAAAATACAATATAACCATATATTCCCCTTCCTCCATAAAAAGCCACATGCCCCGTGGGTCCCCAAGCCCATCCCCAGAGCAACTCACAAAGGTTAGTGCAGCTACATTAATTCATCTGGAAAGGATTTTCATCACCTTGTCTCTTTCCTTGCCTCTTGTGCTGTTTCAAAAATAGCTCTGGCTTGTTTGCTGCACTGCCCGTGTCAGTCTGATTTTCTGCCTGGCTGGATGTGCACAGACACGCTGGGAGCCCGCTGGACACCACCACCCAGATCTGTACATCCATGCACAGCCACCCAAACACAAAGCACAGCCCCATCCCTCGCAGGCCATGCTGGAAAGCTGCTTGCTTTCACAAGCTTTGCGCTCTATGCATTTACAGCAGGCCTCAAAAGGGGGCTGGAGAACACAGCACAGCCCTTCTGGAGGTCAAAAAACGAGGCAGAAAAGCAACAAAGTACTAACATCGATCTGTCCAAAAGCTGCAAGTAAGGGCCTGCCCTGGAATGAAAATACTTTGAGATTTGAGTGCATTTATCAAATGACCTACGGTCATATGGCTGCCTGCTGTTAGTGCTTCTGTCAATTAAAGACAAACAATCTCTCCTGCAGCCCTTGGGGATTGTTCTCCACAACTGCCAGGAAAGGAATAGGTAGAGAAGGTGCAGATGTGCAGAAATTCTGGAACAAGCAACCCTTAAAAAAAAAAAAAAACTCAGGTAAACTCTTGAAATACAAGAATGAGATTTTTCCCACTAGTACATCTTTATCACTGGATTTTCCTGAACAGCTTGTCTTTTTAGAATAAAACAGCTTGCTGGAGCCATTTCACAAATCCCAGATTAATTCCATTCAAATCTGGCATTCTTCCCAAACCCAGTAAATCTCAGGTTCAGCCTTCAAGACCCAGCTCATCAGCTGTGAGCTGCCTTTCTGATGTGTTTCTAAATGAAACTTTCTCAGCACGCCATGACTCAGGAACACTGGTTACCATGAATTAAAGATTTCTACAAGGAAAAATGCAGCACAAAGAAATTCTGATTGCTTATTCTATGCATGTTCCTATACAGCTATAAACTCTAATATGCAGTTGCTCTCTTATCATTTATTATAAAAATTAATTACTACCTATTGACATTTATGGATGAAGTGCTCCCCAATTACTTATCTGCTAAGAAACTCTGAATTTAAGAGGAGGAAAAAAACCCATATACCTTTTCCTGCAGTCACCAGAGGATGAAGATACCATTAAAAAGAGGAGCCTCTCAGGCATATCTCCTCTTTTTATGGGTGTCTGCTTCCGAATTCAGTGCTCCATGTATATTAACAGGGAAGCACAAAGCTCACCATACTGCAACAAATTAGCACCTTAACACACACTGCATGAAAATTAATTGTTATCTGACACCTAAGGACCTCTCCAATTTCAACAGCAATCCAACAAACCAGATGTGCAAAGAACTGGAACTGACTGCCTGGGGAAATTGTGGAGTTCAATCACACAGGTCTTTAATACCAACATCACAAATGAATGGGTGGAAGTCAGTTCTGCCTTGGGGTAGAGAAGAGAAATAAATGACTGCCCAAGATCCATTTCTGGTCCTGATATGCTGATTATTTTTTCTTTATTTCTTTTTCTGAGTCATTCCTTCTTGCATCTGCTTACTTCTAGCAACCCCTCTTAGCTGTCACTCCTACTAGGATCACACTTAGACACTTAGAAATGAAGTTTTCTTACCCATCCTCCTTGTTGAATGATATAATCTGCAGAATAATCTTCTAGATACGTCACCCCGAAGTTCACAAGGGCACTCAGTGGTTCCTGGCCCCGTCTGGTCAGCTCCATCAGAAATTGTTGTAACAGAACCAGGGGCACCAAGACCTTCAAAAAACAAGAGTTGTGAATAAATACAGAAAGCATTATCAATACTACTGTGGCAGCTAGAACAAAATTCATGTGTTTACAGAAAAGGTCTGAATCTTCAAGTCCAAACCAGGGACTCTAGACTTCATTTCTGAGAAGACACAAGGCAAACACACAATAAAATGCACTATAAAAGAAGCACTTAATCTGCTAAGCAAAAACTCACAGTCTAACTTGAGAATTTCATAGAACACCACTGCAGTGTTTTCTTAAGCCCCACTTTTTTCCCAACACAAGGTCCAGGTAGAGAAGCAGAAGAGGTCCAGAAGTTGCTACCCCAGAAGTGGAAAGATGCATCATAAATAGCTTGGAGCAAGCAGCAAACTCAGACACATTCTTGAACAGGAGCACTGCACTAGACAGTCTCTTTAGATGTTCACACTTGGCTTTGAGGCAGGACAGAAACAAACACCTCCACCCAGCAGCTTAACATTACAAACATGTTTAAAATGACAAGCACAAAGTCCTTTCCATGTCAAACTCTCCATCTGATGCCAAATTTAACACAGAGAGATCTTCCTCCCTCATGTCCTACTACCATTCCTCTTTAGAAACCTTTTAACTGAATGCTCAGCCTTAACCTAAATTGCTCTGGAAGATGCAAGCCTCTGTGAATCCACCTCCTTCACATTATATGGTTCTAGACATTTCCTTCTGAAATTATGCTTTTGTTTACCTAAACAACATCCAGTCAAACTTTTAAACTGTAAATTTATTCTCCTAGAGCATGCAAGTGGCCCTCTGGGCAATGTTTACACACAGCACCTCGCCAAGGTTGGGAAACTGGTATGAACTGAAGTCATTAGCATCTGAAAAAGCCTTATTATTACACAAGAGAAAAATATTTGTTTTACTGCATTTTAATTGAGGCAACTGCACTGTACACCTATTCACTGTGCAGACTGGAATGCTGTTTCCCAGATGCACAAGAGAGATGAAGGCTCTACTACTGCTCATACTCAAATTCTAATGCCTCCTTCCTTTTCCAGTCTCTTCCCTCATCAGCCTGGTTTTCTTTTCTGTAAATATCCCGCAGCACTATTAACAGAAATCACACCTTAGGGTGCAAAGCTGAAGGAAGATGAATAAGCAAAGTAAGCTGAAATTGAGATTTGTACTAAATTCATGGTGGCATCACACTGAGATTGACTACTAAAACCAGGTAAGGCCTAAAAAATGTCCATAATCTGATAAATTTAAGATGCTCCAGGTGATTAACAAATGAGTCCAAGACTGTGGCAGACAGGTTATAGTACTGTTGTTCTGTGATGAACAGTTAACACTGGTAACTGTTAACACTTCACTAGGGATGTCAGGGTGCCAGAAGTTTAAAAGTATTTGAATTTTAAAAGTGTTGGGTTTTTTTAATTTCTTGCAATTAATCTCAACTCAGAGGCAGAAGTGCAAGATCACAGTGCTCAGATATAAGGAGCAGGTCAAGATGAAGTGTCAAAAGGAAGCTTCAATCTTTTTGGATCAAAAAAACCCAAGCTGTCAAGGCAGAGGCTTGGGCACACCCACATAACTCTGCAGCAACATGAACACTGAGATCTCAGAGCATTTGACATTTACTGTAAGCTGAAGGCAAGAGAAACAAAGGCAAGGAAAGGCTGCTTGGGAAGTGAAGGCAGCTCAAATGCTGGCATAGTGAACATGACTGCTGCCTTCTTCCTTTGCCAACTTGATGCCTAATCCACCCATTCCCTCCACATTCAGCAAGCCTCCTCAGGCCTCAGAGTGAGGGACCAAACTCAAACTCTGACAACCAGTCCCACACAGACCAACAAACACCGTGCAGCTTTCCCTTCCTGCTGAAATTACTGACACTCCTGCCTCTGAAAACAAGAGGAACAGGAGCAGGTTTGCACGAGACTGTCACTAAATTCATGAAAGAAATTATCTCATAGTGGTTCCATGAAAGTTAACAACACCTTTCTGTACAGAGGAGCAGCTGTGTGAACGGTGGTGAGATTTAACTAGAACAAAGTAAAAATACAGACTTTGCAACTCCCTCCATCAGGATGCCTGGGAAGGAATGCCAGGGGCTATTTATATTTTGACTGAAGAGAAACACACATAGAAAATAGTTGGCAGGAGAAAACTTCTAGAGAATCAATATAAAACCCACTTTACTATCAGAAGATAGCTGATTGTGTAAATGAAACACTTGTGTCCACTACACTATTGCAATCCCATTGTACAATATTACAAATTTAAATGTACGCAAAAAAAAAAAATAAACAAAGAAGGTTCAGAGGCTTTGAGGAAACTATGTTTTTTTGAGGAAGCTATATCCAAAATTATTGCAGTTCTGTGTACCTTTTGACTACTTCAACTTAAAATTAATCTAATTCTTTGAACAATTATTTCTTATATTTTTGTTGCACTATTTTTTTCCCCCGTTAATCAGTAAGAATGGGACACTAAGGTGCCTGCTACCCAATTCATCAGTTCAACTGGCTCTCAATAACAATATCTGTTATCCTTTCAGATGATGCACAACGGTGGGATTATGCATTTTGAATATATGCATATAATATTCAGTTTTAAGCAAAAAGCATAAAAACTCAGCAGTGTAGTATTTAAATTTTTTTTTATTATGTTAATTTTATTGTAGAGTTTCAATGTGCCCTATCTGTGGTGATTTGGAAGTTGGGTTTTTTTTTAATGAGAGCCTTATTTCAAATAAAAGATAAGGAGTCTTTTCCTTTATAGAATTCAACATCAACATGTTTTTCTAACAGCTTCTTTAGAGTAAAAATTAAGCTGAGCTGAGATGGGAGGAAAGGTATCTAGATTTCTTCTGTTATAAAACACAATTCTGATTAAGATGATAAAGGAAATTAGAAGGAAATTAAATAAACACAAATGTATTCCATCTCTTCAAAACAAGGATTATTGAAGGAACTGCTGGGCATTCTTGGAGCTCCAAGCTACCAGAAAAACAATACAAACAGATGCTGTGCTGGGGTACAAAATCTCCACTCTCCTTTGCTTTTGGACTGTATGTTTTGTAGCAACAAATGTTACAGGCAAGCAGAGTTGATGACAAAAATATCCTGGATGATACTCTCCACCACAAGCTGATGGGGACTGAAATACACGAGCCCCAGGGGCTGCAGGAATGCAGCAGCAATGAAGGCTGGATCCTAAAACCCCCAAATGCAGCCATTCATCCACCCAGAGCTGCATCTTTGGGAGGTGGGCATCCAAAATAAATTGACCTGAGAAGCCTCATGCACCTCCTCTCTTGCCAGCTGAGCCACAATGACTGGTTTTATGCTTGGTTTTACTTTTCACCAGCTGAAAAGTGAAATGTGCTAGCTTAAGCCACCTTCTTGATAATCATATTTCATGGTTGTTTAAACCAAAATGCCGTGAATCACAAGATGACAAATTGAAAGAGCACACACATAAAGCAATGATAATTGCTGGAGCCATGGGCAGTAACTTGTCATGCAATGTTTATTAAACTGCTTTACAAGTGCCCACACCCTTGGTTAGATGAACAGTTTCTGAAGTAAGCAGGGAAATCTAGTCAGGAAAAAGTCTTCCTGAAAAAAAAATGTAAAGAGGGGGGAAAAAGATTTCTTGATCTATTTCAAAATTGAGTCTACATTTTAACACTAGAATTGTGATTAAATTTGCAAGTAGATATTTCATTCTTTCATTCTTTTTTTGATGCTCACTGAACCCATCAGAGAATGATTAAGGTGATGAATTTGAATGATTAATGAAAGATGAATCTGGGAAGAATAATCTACTCATTCTACATCAAAAGTATTTTAAGACAATTAATTTAAAGATCTGCATTTTGTTTAAAAAAACAAGATTCCTATCATTTGAGATGACCACTCTTGAAACCAGATAGAAACACCATCCCTACATTTTCTGAACAATTTAAGTATCATGAAGATACTGTCAATTTTTATTTTCACCATGTTCAGCACTCTTTTTTATGTGTATTTTAAACCTGACATTGGAGGAGGGAAAGAGTAGAGAAGTATTATGAATAAAAGGTCTCAGATTTCATTCCAAAACTGCTGCAGGAATTAACCTCTCTTGGGAATTTAAAAAAAATTAGTCAAGCAACACATCTAACTTTTCATTTTACCAAACTAAAGGAAGGTTGACTTAACACTTCCATTCAGTAACTTCTAACTAAATTATCTATAAAACTATTCATTATGTGCACAGCTACCACTCTGAGAATGCAATTTATTTCTTACTAAAACCTAGTTCTTTCTGTCTTTGGCCCTCTGTGAAGCACAACTGTACCTAGTACAAACAATATGGACATCAAAGAGACACGAGACATATCCAAGTGCAGTCACTGATCTGGTACCTTGTTCCATCCACTGGCATGAGCAGCCGCCTCCTGCGTGCGCTCCCGATAGTCCTGATACGTCACCGGCCTGCAGAAGTTAAACCAACACTGAAAGTTATAAAAGGAAACAAAAGAACGTGAATAAAAAGAAAGTTCTCAGTTTCCAGAGAGCAAAATATTTTCATGTGTATTACAGCAAGTAATTTTCAAGAGCTAACAAGTCTTGTGTTTCACGACATTAAACAGCAGCACCAGACAGGGTCAGGAAGGCATCACCTTTCTCCCACTTACACAATTTCATACAACTGGTTACGTGAATTTCCTAATAATTTGATACTCTACAGCTTAAAAGAAATTAGGTAAGTAGGTTCTCTGAAATGCTACAGAATTTCTAAGCTCTTGCATATGTTTTTTTTTTAATAATCTAAGATTTTAAAGACAGAAAACTCCACTAAGAAATTCACACCTGAGCTACAGGCCAATGCAGAGTAAAATTTTGTAAACGATCCAGGCTATGGACCAACACAGACTGCTTCACTGCATAAACATTATGTTAGAGTTGAAGCCTTTATTTGCAAGAAACAGCATTTTTGATCACAAACCCCCTTTATACTTGAGTAGAATTCTCTCTGAATTGGGATAATGAAATTCCTCTCTTCCATACTCTTTCCTCCAAGACAATTTGGCATCTAAGAGTCAATAACAGCAAAGGCTTTCTGCCAAGTGACAGCAGAAGATGCACTGTTTCAAAAGCAGCTGTCCTCAACCAGATCATTGAAAGTTCAGACTTCAGTTTAATGGAAATAGTGATAACTGGCATTGGACAGAAAACTGCTTATTGAATACCAGGAACCTGCCATGATCTAACAGCCTACTGTACCCTAACACTTGTTTATATGCATGGCAGAGGGCAGGAAAATATAAGCCAAATTAATAAGTATTGCATCAAATAGCACTACTCTAGCAACAGGGGGGAAAGAACAGAGTTAGAGCACAGTGGGGAAAACATAATTTGGGTCTGTCATTTTAAGGACACTCTCTTGACTTCTTTGACACATTAATTCTTTGAAACCAAATCTAAATCAATCAGTGGGATGAGAAGAGCAGGAACAGCTGCAGGACAGATATTATCAAGAGTTTAACCCTAATTCTAGTTTGCCTTAGAAAAAGGCAACAGGGTTTCACAGGCATTTCTGACTTTATGACAAACATAAACAAAAAATTACTTAGAAAGCAAATATTTTCTTATAGAAAACACAGGAAGCCCATAACATCAGAATATCAACAAGCTAGAAACACTTAAATGCACAGCTGCATTTATGTAACTCTTCCTAAAGCAGAACCTTCCAACAGCAGCTCTCTGCCGACACATTTTGGAGGTCACTCAGAAAAACCTCAAGTAGTTCACACAGATCCATTACATTTCAGGCTGGTAATTTATAACAGAAAAACAAGCAACTACAACAATTGCACCAATCTGCAAAGACATCAATTAAGATACCAGCATGCCAACTGCAATGTGCTATTTACACAATAAGCTTAAACTGGCAGGACAGCTGTTAAGGCACCAAGGTTAGCCCAGGGGCCTGCATCTGCTTCAGATGTGTACCTGAAGGGTGCTCACAAGGTTTGTAACTACCATCCTCTCAGGGAAACTCTCCCACTGATCATGGGCCAGACCACAAACCAACCTTCTTCAGCTCCACTCTTTGTTATAAAATAAATTAATGTGGCTACAGCCCAGCATTCATGAAACTGGCAATGGCAGCTGCCAGTTTCACCAGCAACTCAAACTGCTTGAAGCAGCCTCAGAAATTCAATAACAAAAGCTCAGAAAAATTTTGTAACTTACATTGCTGCAAAGGGCAAATACCACAAAGGAGTATTTGCACATTACATCGCAAAACAACAAAAACCCAAAACCAACCCAACCAGATAAAGGAAGATTGAAAAAGAAAGAAATGCAAGTCCCAACTTCAGCATTTCAGCAGCAGTCACAGTGGAGAAGGAAACACCTTTGAAAAAGCAAATGGAAACTCACTTGCTAAGCAAGCTCTGCAGTGCTTTGTGCAGATGTTCCTTCAACTCCTGGGACACTTTCTCCCCCAGATGAGCCAGGCAGTCTTCTATTGAGCTCTCTGGATTGGCAGGGCTGAACACTGGGGAAGTGTGGCAGTCAAACCCTGTAGTGGTAAATGCTGAGAGAAGAAGGTACACAAAATAAAACAGATTCACAGGCAAACATCAACAGTCTTAGATTTCTTAACCCAGCAGTTTACACAGTTTACATGAGGGATGAAAAAAAATCACAGCTCTGTAGTCAAAGTATGCAATGTACAAATCATAATAAAAAATGTCCAAATACATTCTGAAAGTGCTACTTACAAGGCAGGGATGATGTTGAGCTACATTTCCCCACCAGCTCTTGTTTCCCAATTGTATTCTAACCAGCAAGTTTGCTGAATGTGCAGCTATTCTCCCATTTTAAGCTGATGCCAACTCTGATGGAGCAGCAAAAGAGCCTCTTTTCATAGTAAATTTGCCCACACATGGACATGACACGTCTGCAGCAGTACTAGAGTATCATTTTTTTAAAATATTATTTTGTTCATGTAACCTCTTCCTTCTCAGTTTAAAACTTCTAAGAAAGCTCCACATGAATGAACCTAAACAGCTCTACAGTGTTTCTATGTCAGATTTCTGATTTGCAACACACACGCAAAGCAAAGATGGGTTTGAATTCATTCCTTGCTGGGAGTCCTATAAAAGCCACATCTACAGGCCAAAGCACATCACAAAAACCAGACCTGATGGAAGGGAGAAATCTGATAGTTTAAGTCCACAATCCCTGAAATGTTAGCTCCTGAGGACTTCTGCCATCAAGTGCAGCAGCTAAAGGGCTGCTTACTTTTCATTATTTATAGTAGCCTACTAAATGTCATCCACTTGTTTGCTTTGGCCAGGCTCCACCACTCCAAATGGTAACCTTTAACTATTTTACTCCATGTGACAATGTGTACAAATCTTGTGGGGGGGAGGAGGATAAAGAGATTCAATGTATTCAAAAATCTCTTTAGCTGGAGTACCTGTTACAAATTAACCACCATTACAGTGCATAGAGATTATGGATTGAAACGGGAAAACCTGAAGAGCACCTTCCAAGATTTCTTCATCAAGATGTTTTAGCTCCTCCTCGATCTCTATTTTAATCTTCTCCAAAGCCTCTTTCTCCAGAGCATGTTGTGCCATAAGCTGTTGTTGAGTCCCTGAAAGAAACCAAAAAAATCATTCAAATGTTTTAATTTCATGTTTCAAACAAGGTAGATAATGGAACATGGTATTGACATATTAAGTATAAAGGAATTTGAGGTGAAAGTTCAATTTCAGACAGCAACAAGTATGATTCTTCAAGAGGACTTATTACAGAAGTTTTATTACATGAACTCATGTATACATTAATCATTAGATAAATGAATATATTACATTTATTACATGAAACAGATAAACTTCCCAGCCTATTCAAGGTAGAACTGGTGCTTTAAATAAAATAAAACAGAATACATAGCAACATCTTCAATTTAAGACCAAAATCAAACCAAGGCACATAAACAATCAGCCATCATATGTAATACACTTATTATCAAACTACACCAAAACAAAGTAGACTGCATAAGCTTGATTTTTAGTGGCAAAATATAAAATTTATATTGATGCCTGCAAGATCTATAACATTCTCAGAGCAACTATGCAATGACACCAATGAAGAATCCTGAAACCTGTGAACTGTGAATCATTTCCCTGGTCATGAGGAGTCTACAGGCCACAAATTAACACTTTCATGATTTCACAAAAGAGACTAGAGGCAAAGGACCTCACAATTGTCAGTCAGTTGTCAATTCTCCTCTCCTAACCAATAAAATTTAGGAATTTCAAATGGCTACATATCCCCAGAAGTTCCTATGCCATTGTTTGGCATCACAAACGTATTTTCTAGGTGCTGACTCCAGATGCTGGTAACAAAGTTGTTTCAGCCATATCAGACAGGGTTACATAGACTCTCAATCATCTTAATCACTATGCTGTGCCAAGAGAGACAAAACTGTTTCCAAACAAACTCAGGTATTCAGGACATCTGAATTTCTCGCCCTTTCTGCACCTACACCAAGGGCTACAGCTCTGCCTAGACATCCAGACAATGTTCTGCTTTACAGACATTCTACACTCAGTTGAAGAAAACAAAAAGGGAAAGGGACTGATCTGTAATGTTGCTATCATCTGACTCAATTTCCTCCACATCACTTTCATTTCACATCCAGATTTTCAGATAAGTCCTGTAACAGCCAGTGGAACTTTCTGGCACATCTTTTTTCATTCCAGTCTTGAAAGCACTAAATCATAATTTGGTGGTCTTGTGAATGACAGCTTTGTGGCCTGTTTTCTTTGGTTTGTTTCTCTGCTGGAACTCACTTTAAGTGTTCTCTTGCCTTCCCTTTTCTTCCACAACGGACACATATAATCACTACATTTCATTATAGTTATAGTAATAACTACATTTCATAAAAGGGTGTGTGAAAACCATGAAAGCATTTAACACACACATACACAAATGTTTAGTTAACTACACACTAGTGAAGTACACTGTGCATTTTCTGTATTTAAAAAACCAGTAGATAGTAAGCTTTCAAGGTCTCCCACAATTGAAAAATATGTTAAATGTTATGTTTAATATGTTAATGTTAATATGTTAAAAATCCACTGTATCAACCGACTGAATGTGTGTTAATGCTTAAAAACACAGCACAAAGATCCCTCTAAACCAATGTATGTTTAATATAAAATATATATATCTGTCTAAAAGAACAAATTATGGCCAGTTTAATTCCATTTGACTTAACCACACATGTTCAGAATAACTACTTCTTAAATCCCTTCCCAAGCAGCGTCTCCTTGCCACTCTGAGTAATAAATTCCAGAGAAGAGCAAACTGTTCCTCCTTTTGGTTAATGCCTTGTCACTCCCTGTCAGTTGCTTCTTTGAAGAACTGAACCACTGCTTTGGAGTCAAGTGCAACAAGTGTGTGCAAGTGCCAACCCTTGTGTGAACCTGTGCTTTTTCTTTGTATGGAAGGGACAGAGGAGCCCCCCATTCTCACGGGACTAATGTGACGATGATCACCCATGACAAGCTGTCACACTTGATAAGAAATCACCCGGAAAATGGAAGGAAGAGAAATTCCACTGCTGCCAGTGTACAAAAGAGCTGTTTAGATAATCAGCACTGCAGTCAATGGTTTCCATCTCGTAACACCCACAGCTTTGCAGCAGCTGCTGATTCCGAGAGCACCTGACTGTTCAGTCATGCCAAAATATCAAAACCCTGCCCCTCCCAGAGCAGTGACTTTGCACTGTTTATTCCCCTAATAAAGATTGGATTTCAGCTTTCTGCATCTCCTGGATATTGACTGCTACCAACAAACATTGCACACAGAATTGGAGAACATCAACACCAAAGGTCCTAAGTGAGGGGTGTCTTTTTTCTCAATTAGTCAACTTCCAAGTCACAAACAGGTAGAAGAAAACAGTAAAACCAGCTTATTTTATGAAAATATATTTTTGTTATCAAGGATGTAAATGGTCACACCAGAAGTGGTGTTTGTAAGAGCCACAAGCATTGAATGCTTTCCTGTGCTCAAGAAATGGGTTTGCCTCTTCTGAGCAATTCTGCAAGGCCTCTTCCCAGAGGCACAACAAACCTCTGTTACGTGTTCTTACACAACCAAGTTAGTGCATTCTACTTTCTATTTATGGAACAAATGTTCACTTTGGCACAATTATGTTCCTGTTAAGATTTTGGGTTTCAGGTATTTGGAAGTAACCTAAAAAGTAGAGAAGAATGTGTTCTGGAAGTCCATCAAGCACCACATCAGGGAGCATCAGACTACTAAATAAATGTAATACTTCAGTAAAACTCCAGAAGCTCAGTAACAATACAAGACTAACCCGTTTGCCAGGTTTAATGCCAGGAGGAGGAGGGATGGAAAGTCATTCATCAGAGCTACTGACTCTGCACATCTCATTTTGCAGTGCTTGAGCCAAAACTTCAGCTAACAAGGGACAACCATAAGGAGGGACTGAAAAGATGTTATGCCTTTTTAGTTCAAGGGAATGAAGGAAAACGAAAAGAAAGCCACTGATGTCACAGATTGCTTCTGATTTTTTTATTTCATGCCTGCAATTTTAATTTAGCAGTATCTTTGTTTTTCTGAGTTATCCTAAGTCTCTATGTTAACCTCTGTATAGTGAACTTAAAAATTTACTTTTACCAGGACTGTAATATTTCTTTAACATCTCAGAATTTTTAAAACATTAAGTAAGACTCTAAAATTACTGTAAGCACTGAGAAGTGACAAAGATATAAAAAACCTCTTTACAAATGTATTTATCTATTTCCTTTAATGAAAAGTACATCCATTAAACCAGCAAACTCCAGACCATGGACTGCCACACATAGATGTAGCCCTCGATTTCAGAAATGTTTAAAAGAAGCTCTTTATAAGCCATAAGAAGGCTCAGCTTGAAAGAAACTGAAAAAGTCTAAAATATTAAAAGGAGACAATATATTGCCAACTAGCACTCTTTTTTGAGGGGGGTGGAGGGCAGAGAGAAGGCTTAATTAAGTGGGAATTCACACCCCAAAAAGCTCCTTTTCCTTGCCTCAGTTTAGGAAATAGCTCCCTTATTACCATGAACTGGACTGCTCTGACCTACAGTGTGAATCTTTACAGCCCAGACATGGTTTCCCTAAAAGGAAGGTCTTTATCAAGCAAGTTCATCATGTAAGATAAAACAACCCAAAAAACTCAGTTTCCTACAAGCCAACAGTAGGCACTGTGTGTGTGGGAAACCAGGAAAATGCCTCGATCGCCAACTACACACACCACTTGGTATGGTAATTCCAAAAAGATAACAAATGGTCAAAAGGACATAGTGCATAATAATTGGAATAAAGTACTGTGGATAGCATGCACCTCAGGAAAACTGTCAAAACCTTGTTCACCTCTTGGCTAATCTATGTCACCATGCAGTAGTGGCACTGACTATAAATTTTTCAGATACTCTGTAAACTATGGGATTATTTATTTAAGATTTTTCACTCTGTTAAGGAAAACATAGAAAAATTACTTGTCTTTACAGTGTAGCCACAAGCTCATGGGATGGTGTCAAGCAATGGGGAAGTAGATTAAAAAAGAGAAATACATTAAAAGTCACTCCTTGATAACATACAAAGAAATATTTATAATAAAAATACATTGAATCACAAAACCAAAGGACTTTGACCCACTTGAAAAGCTAGTAATACTAATAACTGCAGCAGAATGGAAGCTTCTGTAATGAGAGTGACTTCAGGGAGAAAAGTGTAGAGATGTTTTCCAATACTTAATAATTATTTTCTGTGTCTGAGCCAGTACTTTTAAGTATGATAAGAGTTCTGAAAAAATACAAAACATCTCCCCTCAGTCTAATGAACTGAGAGCTTCCACACATTTTAAATATATGTGCTCATCTGTTGCCTCAAACATTGACTGACACAGGTGATGCTACTCCATGTGTTTTATCAATTTATCTGATTTTTCACCTATCAGAAAACCTACCAAAAAGTAACAGAATTTAATGCTAATGGATTTTGCTTTAAATAAACTACAGTGGCTGTTATGCAGAATCACTGGCAAAACTAAGAGGAAAAATCTCTCAAAGCACTGGCCAGTTAAATTTGCTGGATTTACCTCTGGAGACACTGAAATCCATTAGAGAACACTACAGAGCTATAATGTTAAAAGGTTGGGTTGTCCAGTAAAACTGTCTTTTCTTCAAGAGGCTGGAATACTGTGGATGGTTCTCTCTTCAGCCCCTGTGCTGAAAAGAAGATAGCAAAATAAAGATTTCCAAGTGCTCATCAGGTGTTGATTTAGATCAGCCTCGTTTGCTTGAAGCCAGAAGTGATTTCAGTGCTTGTAATTGAAGCCATCCTTCTTGCAACAAAACCAAGACCAACCAAGAGACCCAAAAGGAAACACTGTAAGGTAATTTTCCATGTAATTTCTCTGAATTTTCTACTCACTGAATAAAAACCCTCCAAAAACCATCAGTCTTGCAAAGCACATTAAGCCTGTAATAAATCAGAAGTTTCAACTGGAAAACCTATCAACCTATTTTAAAGTTTTATTCTTATCTCAGTTTTTGAAACAGAAAGGGATATACCAGGAAAAAGAATTTGTAAAAGATGCAGG